TTTTCAGACCTCCCAACATGCTCAATTGGATCTTGCTGTTTGCATAATATAGCTCCTGCCTATTTATTTATTTTTTTTACGAGAAAAATACAGGCTAATTATCCCAAAGGGATACTGGAAAGGGAATTTTGTAGAACCCACCAAGTCACCATTGCTGAGCAGAGTTGCTGAGATAGACGCCTTTGTAAGCAAAAATCTTATGGGTGATAATATGGTTCTATACACGCTTCTTTCAAGAGCAATTGCAAGAAGGTACATTGATTTGCTTCCTGTGGTTGTTCTTTTCCATCTGAGCAAGCTGCCTTTTAAAGGAAGGTCTAATGGCTTCTTTTTTTCTGGGCTTAAATACCAAGCTATGTGGTGCAGCTATGTGACACTGGGCTGTGTCAATCCTTCCTTCTTCACATATAGTCATGTTCTGGATGATCTGCAGATATCAGATCACAGGGACGATTAGTGTGACATGAAGGATATGATGGGTCACATCTTTGGATCACTGATATGGCACTTACTTCCGCGTAGTGAGATTTTCTGGAGATGGCATATCCAGGAAATGTACGGTATGTCTTTATTCATTGTTGGAGTGTGAAATTCTATTGCAGTGGATCTGTCCAAGAAGATAGAATAGAATAGAATAGAATTTTTATTGGCCAGGTGTGATTGAACACACAAGGAATTTGTCTTGGTGCATATGCTCTCAGTGTACATAAAAGAAAAGATACGTTGTGGACTCAATTCTCATAAAGAAGTATCAGATAATGATGGGACATTTCTGGACCTAACTTCCTTTCTCGGGATCATCACAATCCTGATTTATTTTTAGCTATGATGGCTAATGTCATTCTTTTTTATTTATTTTTATTTTTGCCAACTATACCATGGGATATTAGTAGAAACCTATTAGCGTGTGTTTGTTATCTACCATTGTTGATTATAAGCCCAAACTTTCTGAGATCTAATGTTTTAATGAGTGCTACATGTAATTTCAATTATTTGAATTTTTTTCCCCCTCCAGTGTGAATTATATTCTTTAATTTATGCTACCAATTTCCTGGGATTAGCTCAGAGATGGAATTCAGGAGAGCAACCTCTCTTCTGAAACTAGTATTTGCTTTAGGGTAAATCCCTGAACTCGGGCAATTTGCATTTCAAAAGCAAAAACAAACAACTCTACATCTTCAATGCAAAGTAGCAGGTAGACGCGTATGGAGTTGGATTTTGAATTCCTTTCTCCATTCTCTTCAGTTGAAATCCGTTCAACAACAAAATCTCTTAATTAAAAATAAAGCGTCGTCATCATTATTTTTTAACTGAAAGACTGCCACAATCTGAATCTCAGTACTAAATTCTCTTCCACTGAAGTTGATTCCAAAATTATTCTACACCAACTTTCCCATTCAAGTAGTCTTTCAGATAAAGTGTTTTTTCCAGTGAGACCAGTCTATCAGGGCAACTGTGGGACAAAGCATATGGCTTCCGCTTTCGCCTTTCAGACCCAATCCAGGAGCCTTTTCAGGCAATTGCTTTCGCAGCAAACTATGCTTGTGTTGACAAAGAACACAAAGAAATAAAGGGAGAAATAAAGGGAGACTAGTATAGATCTATTTCAAGCTATTTAGCTCCCATCAGCTAGCCCTACCCTTCTGGGATTCAAACCCAGGCTACTTGAATATTGGGTAGATGTATTAATCAGGGGTGGGTTCTACTTACCTTTACTACCGGTTCGCAATGGGATCGCACGTGCGTGCCTTGCTTCTGCACATGTGCAGAAGCTTCTGCGCATTCGCAGATTGCCAATGATGACATCCGGGGCGGTAGGCAGGGTCTCCCGCCGGTTTTACTACCGATTCCTGCGAACCGGTCCGGGGGCAACCCACCACTGATATTAACCTCTAAGCCACGGGCTCTCCTCACTTTGTCAGCTATACCAGGGGAGAGATTAAGTGTTTTTTTCGGTGAGACCAGTCTATCAGGGCAACATATGGGATGATCTTTCAGATGTGTGGGGACCACAACATCCCAAGAGCAATTTGATTTAAAATTCAGAACTGGAGACCCACCACAGCTGAAAGGTGCCAGGCTGAAGAAGGGAGAGGGCTATTCAAGATGGAACAAATTATTAAATTAGTATCACACCAACACAACACTAATTGAACCCCTTTTGTATATTTGTAAATCATGCACATCTAGAGATGGAGCTTAAGGTGCAACCCAGCCCTTTTGGCCAATAAGCGCTGGATCTTGCAGATGCCTCTTGAGTTTTTTATTCCTTGAAAATTAAGATTAAGAATCTGAAAGAATACAGTGAATTTCATTAATATAAATGGTGATCTTTGGTAAAGATTATGAAGTGCAAACAGAAATAAGTATTATTTCCACAGCAAGAGCCTTGGTGGTGCAGCGGACTAAAGTGCTGTAAAATAGCACTTAGCTGTCAGCTGCCTGCAATTACTGTGAGTTCAAATCTCACCAGGCTCAAGGTTGACTCAGCCTTCCATCCTTCTGAGGTAGGTAAAATGAGGACCTGGATTGTGGGGGCAATAAACTGACTTTGTATAAAAAAGAACACCGCTTGGGGGGGGGGCAAAAGCCCTACTAAGCAGGTATATACAAAAGTATGAAGGCTATTGCTTAACGCATTGTAAGCTGCCCTGAGTCTCCAGAGAAGGGCGGCATATAAATCAAACCAATCAATCAATCAATCAATCAATCAGGAAGATAAATCAGTAATGGTTAAATCGATTGTTCTATTCAAAGAGGAGAATATATTTATGTTTTTTATTTGGATATCATTTCTGGCTTTGTGCTTGTGATGAAAAAAGATGAAACGTTGACTTTGGTTTTGCCGATTAGATAGATTTGTTGTTATAGAAATGGCTAGTTATATACTAATGCATAAAAATGAAAAGTTGAGGTTGTAATGTTGTTATCTTGCACTGTGCTAAAAAGAAACACCTTTTTCTTTCTTCCCTTGTACCTCATATTTTCTTTCCCCAGTTCTTTTTCCTTCCCTTAATTTCCTATTTTTATTTTTCTTTATATTTTACACATTGATAAAACAATAAAATTTAAAAAATAAAATTATTACTTCATCATTATTAATAACTATTTGAAATTAAAAATATTTAATTATTATTATTAAAAACCATTCATTTCATTCATTTATTCAAGACTGGTTCACACGTTATGGTAAGCCATAAAATGATTTCCTTGATTTAGCTTTTGAAGCCAGCCATTACAATGTTATAAAATATATGTAAAAGAATGCTATTGGTGTGTGATTCCATCTGCTTATTAAGGTCATTCAAACAAGGGTCCAAAAGTTGTTGGGGTATGGTGATATATTGGATGGATGGATGGATAGATAGATAGATAGATGATAGTTAAAGAAAGAAAGAAAGAAAGGTGGAGAGAGAGAGAAAGAAAGAGAATGAGAATAAAATTAATTGTGATTTATTTAAGCTGTTATTTAGTCCAACCCTGTTCCTCTGAATTAACTATTACTGACAGGGGTAAATAAATTATGCTTATTTTCATTCACTTGAAATATTTATTTACAGCGATTTTCCAGCCAAAAACTAGCCAAAATTAAAATCTCAATAATATGTAAAATGTATGATACATGGTGGAAATTGACAGCCAATAATTTAGAATTCACCAACCGGAACATAATAACTAAACTCCTGTCGCTTTTGAAAGTCACTTGAAAATAAAGGTGGTCATTTGGAAGAACTTTAAAGAGAGGTATTCAGGGTGGGCTCTGAAGTGTCCTCAGCGAAATGGGCTGATTTCCATGACGGTGGTCCTCTGGTGTTCACTTCCAATGAATGCTGCTCTAGACATTATGGAAACCTTATAAATGTCACCCTTTCATAGTTGAGATGCAATTGACCAAACATATAGCACTGTCAGATTCACTCTCTGAAATAAACTATGGCTCTACCGTAATTGGCACTTACGGTGGCTTTAGAAACATGGTGGGAAGGGGAGAGAAAGTGAGTGAGTGAGAGAGAGAGAGTAGCAGATATTCATTTCAATCAATGTCAAGTTTCAGAACAGAATTGTGAACAAGGCCTGAGACAACAATTGTCTCAATATTGCCCATGGATAAAGCTGGATTTACTCTTACATCCTCCATCCCTCAACATCCATCAGAAAAAGAGCTTCAGCATCTTGTTTTGACACATTTCGAGATCAACCCTACACAAAATATGTAGTTGTCTACTGTGGGAAGAAATATCCACTTGGTTCAGTTCCAAGCTGGGAAGAAGGCACTAGAAATAAAATGGAGGCTGGAAGCTGATTGGAAAGAGAGTCCATTTATTGATGAAGCAGAACCACATGGGTTCTGGGCAGCTGACCACATGGAGTTGAGAGGGGGGAGTTATACCTTTTCTTGGGCTTTGCACTTGAGCTTCCTGTTCCTGTGCAATAACATGTATTCTATTGGCTGATGTCAGACTCCCATGGGGCCGTTGGGGGTTATGTAGGGGTCATAGCTGGCTCTATAGGCAAAGTACAAATCCTAGGTCTTTGTCTGAGCTACGTTTGGTTGAAGTTTGGACTGCTGTGAGGGTGATGCAATAATTCCTATTGTGGCTTAATGGCTTTTTCCTGTGTTGGATCTTGTGTGATGGCTGCTTCTAATCCTACCATTCTGCCTTTGTTTCAAAATATCCTGTCTTGAATGGATTACCAAATCTGCATTTCTAAAAGCTGGCCTCAGCATCTGCTGGGGCTATTAAGAAAGTCTTGAAGGCTGCTTTCTTTCTCCAAGAGCATGTTTCTCCATTTCTCCTTTAGGGAAATATACTGTATTATTCTGCCTTTTTAATATTTCCCAAAATATTTCATTCTTCTAGGAGGGGGGGTGAGTGCTAACTTTCTACAATAGTTACTGAAATGTGCATAATCAAATTTTGCACAATGCTTTTAGTGTAACGTTTTTTACAAAATTGATGTCAAAACCCATAAGGCACATCCAGTTATTTCACCAACAGAATTTCCAGTGCTGCGAAGCCATGTTCGAGGCTGTGGAGCAACAGGACCTAGATGCTGTCCAGGTTCTTCTCTACCAATACACACCAGAGGAGCTGGATCTCAACACACCTAATAGTGAGGGGTTGACAGCTCTGGACATCGCCATCCTGACAAATAATGTGCCCATTGCCAAGATCCTCATGAAAGTTGGTGCAAAGGAGAGTCCACACTGTAAGTATTGCAGAATACTGTACAAACAAAGCTGTACCATACTAAAAAAGGTCAAATAAATCAAAGGTTTACACAGTTCTTTAAAGCCACTTGTATTTTTGCCTGTATTCGATCAATCAGCAAAAAGAAGAATCATATTCCTATCTGGATCATGGAGAACTGCTAGATACTCCATTGTGGCCTACTCAAAGGCTAAAGTGTTCAACCCAAATGATTATTATTAAATGTACTTCCCCAGGATTTCTATATGCCCATCCCATTCATTCTATTTTGAAGGGGTCAAGATTCTCCTCTTCAATTCTGTAATTTTGGAACCGTTTGCAATCATGATTTCTATTATTGACTTTTTTTTTAATTGAACTGTGTTTACAGCTATTGTCACATTAAATAGTTGCTAAACGAATGGCTATAAGTCAAGGACTACTCGTATGCCCCATCACTGTATTGTAACATGCTTTTTGCTTTCAAATCCAAAAGCCTTGTATAACTTCACAAGCTATATAATAATTGAGCATAATGCATACATGCCATAGTGGTGTGCAAATCACGGCAAACCAGAGTTAAAAGCAACCGTAGCCTAATACAATTTATAGAGCTGGCGAGTGGAATTTCATTTTGAACAGATATGAATGGAATACAGTGCTAGTCATAAAATATCTTTTCCCCAGTTCTGTAAGAAGCAAATATACAGACCCTGCTGTTGTGGTTGCAGCCAGCTGTTGGGCTGACAGGAGACCAGAATGGAACAAGGCAATAACAAACATTGAAATCATTCATTCATTCCAATGTGACTAATAAACAAAGACCCCCGTGAATATGCCTGGAAAGTTTTGATTTCATTTGGCTATCAAGCTTAATACTCTTTTTGTGTGTGTGTGCGTGTGTCCCTGGACATCTTAAGGACATTTATTCAAATCAAAATTTGAATCTGGGATTAATGATTTGAAGGAAGTGGTGCTGTGAGATGCTGTAAAACAGCATTTCCCTACATATTTCAGCTATTTAAAATGTTTAACCTGTAAAAATTTTAATTCCCACTGCTCTTTTTTTGTCACACCTCTTCAGACAAAGTATCTTCATGTACGTACCTGATTGGAGAAAGGATTTAATGAACTAAGTTATTTTAACCCATAACTGCAGTTAAAAAAAAAAAAACAGTTGCAAATTGGCATTGTTGAATAGTAGTTTGTATCACAGGCCAGACCTCCATGTCGCATGTGGTTGTACCAAAATGTGTTGCCGGCAAAATGTTGATGGATACACAAGCTCTTATATTAATGTGTAAGTTTCACTATCCTACTAATGATGAATAAATATTAGAGATATAGAAATATTGCAAAGATGAGTTTTGAAATACTGCGTTGAAAAAAAAAAGGGTAATGCATAAGAATTCAGAGATTAGGCAAAAATCCTTTCCTGCAGAATTTTGCTTGGGTGAGATACACTAACTAAGCAAGGCGTCTCAGTTTAATCATGCAGTTGTTAAGCAAATCTGGCTTCCCCCATTGGCTTTGCTTGTCGGAAGCCAGCTGGGAAGGTCACAAATAGTGATCACATGATCTTGAGACAGTGCAGCTATCATAAATACACACCAGTTGCCAAGCATCCAAATTCTGATCACATGACCATGGAGATGCTGCAACAGTTTAAGTGTCATTTTTTAGTCACTTTTTTTCAGTGTTGTTGTAACTTGGAATAGTCCCTAAACAAATGGTGGTAAATTGAGGGATATCTGTATGTGAATCTCTACCTACCTACCAGTGGTGGGTTTCAAATTTTTTTACTACCGGTTCTGTGGGCGTGGCTTGGTGGGCGGGGCATGGCTTGGTGGGCATGGCAGGGGAAGGATACTGTAAAATCTCCATTCCCACCCCACTCCAGGGGAAGGTTACTGCAAAATCCTCATTTCTTCCCGATCAGCTGGGACTTGGGAGGCAGAGAATAGATGGGGGTGGGGCCAGTCAGAATTCTTATTACCCGTTCTCCGAACTACTCAAAATTTCCACTACTGGTTCTCCAGAACTGGACAGAACCTGCTGAAATCCACCTCTGCTACCTACCTATTGTATCTGTCTGTGTGTATGGGTACGTGTTTATATGGGTGCATGTGTATATGTGTATATACCAGGGGTGGGTTCTAAATTTTTTTACTACGGTTCTGTGGGCGTGGTTTATTTTGTGGGTGTGGCTTGGAGGTCATGTGACTAGGTGGGCATGGATAGCTGGTCAGAGTCATTTCTGGAAGGTCCTCGCACTTACGACCAGTCCTCGCACTTAGGACCCGACTCATTTGTTTGCTTTTAACACTGATCAGCTGTAGGACGGCCCTTTGAAGCCCCGTGGCAAGAGTTTAAACAGTTTTTTTCCCTCTAGTCATCAGCTGGGACTCAGGAGGCAGCAATAGATTGGGGGTGGGACCAAATAAAAGGTAAGAATAACGTGAGGGGGTGCGGGGGTGGGAGGGCGGGGGTGGGAGAACCGGTTCAGTGACATCATATCGTCACCGCTACTGGCTCGGCCAAACCGGACCAAACCGGGAGGAACCCACCACTGGTATATACATATACGGTAGATGTAGGTGTGGGTGTATATTTGTGTGTGTTTGTATATCTCAGAATATACACTTTTATACAAATAAAAGTGTTGTTTTATTTTATTTATTTTATTTATCAATTTTTTACAACAGCCCATCTCCTATCAATTCAGAGACAGGGAATCTGGGCCGCTCTAAATGTGACCAAACTAGAACTCCCTCACCTTGCTTCCAATTGGCCCTTCTGGCTCAGAGCCTGTCTGGGGTTCAGTCATATCAGAAGGAGCGCTCCATTGATTCCCCACCACCAGATTCTGAGATGAGAATTCATTGGTCTCTAGAACAGAAAATAGTCCCCAGTCAGTTCAACTGTCCAAGTGGGATGCATTTATTTTCAATAGCAACAAGCCCCCCCCCAAAAAAACCAAGCAATGACCATTGTAAATAAGCAGATAACCTAGAGCCAAGAGAAGGTTTGAGGCTCATGGGACCCTAGAGAAGATACTTGAGCTCTGGCTGGAAGATGCTCTTGGTTGACCCTTGTCCAAAAAATACCTGAGGAACACCTCACCTGCTTGATGACATTGTCCACTGTCTCCATTCAGGGAACTGTTCCACTCAATTTTTTACCCCTTGTCTGTGTGCTTGCAAGGGGAGAGCAAATGAGTCAGTCAACCGTCATTTAAACCGTGACTCAAATTCTGACATCATAGGTAGAACATAGAATAATAGAGTTGGAAGGGACCTTGGAGGTCTTCTAATCCAGCCCCCTGCTCAAGCAGGAGACCCTATATGATTTCATATAAATGGTGGCCCAGCCTCTTTTTTGATGCTCCATCCAGTGATGCTCCATCCAGTGATGGAGCATCCACAGCTTCTGAAGGCAAGCTCTTCCGTTGGTTGATTGCGCTCACCGTTAGGAAACTTGTGGCTAAGAATACTATTTTGCTTGCATCTCGGCAAGTCACATAATGAAACTGTGTCCCCAGGAGCTCAAATTTAGCAAACTCTGCTGTTAATTTAAAGTTAGTTAAATTAATAACATTTCGTATGGATCTGCCAGTCTCCATGCTCCAGAAAATCATATCTTGAGGCTCCAATTTCCTGGCATTTTTTCCCCCTACTGAGCTATGCCTGTATATTCTAGCCCCCTCTCTGTTTTCACCAAGTCTGTAGAATTGGTGCACTTTTATGGCTGGGTCGTGTCCACAACACTTATATTATCATTTAAACTGGCCTCCCTTAACTTTCCAGGGTGATTTTTTTCTCTCTCTCCCTCTCCTTGGTTACTGTAGCTGTTCAGTGAAAAGAGTTGTGTCGTTTAATATTTATTTGTTTATTTTTCTGTCATGGTTCGTGACTGGAGGAGAAAAAAAGAATCAGGGGTGACAGGAATTAAACCACGTGATTGACGGCTAAAGTAACATTCATTAGGCATGACAAATCTGCAGGAAAACACAGCCTTGAGTGTTCTAAGCAGCAGTTAAAAAAAAAAAAAGACTGAGCTGATTTTTCATTGACTATCTGTAAATAAATGCAGACTGATGGCACGGAGGGGCAATCGTAAATGAGTATTCATTTCCTGCCTTTAATGCAAACATGCCTGGGAACGCAGGCTAGGCACCTATAGCCACTTCATTTCCATGGCTAAATAATGCACTGTGCTGATCACCATTTGCATTTGCTATCTCCATCCATTGGAAGTCTGAAGAGGAGAATTTTATAAATGGATCACTGCTGCAAGTAGAGTCCTTCTTCCAAAGCTGATAGCTAAGGTGGGATGCAAATAGCCCCACATAAGCTCTTCAAATTAGCATCAGCTAAATCAAGGGTCCCCAACCTGTGAGCCATGAGGGGATTGCAACCAAGCTGCAGAAACAGCCAGCACGCATGCGTGCACATGCATCCTCACTTGTGTGAGCAACATGTAAGTGCATGCACGCGTGCTCCATTTGCATGAGAGGCAGGTGCACTCATGCAAATGGAGCTGCATGCACATGCACATGCTTGTCAGCCACTCGCCAGAACCATCCCCTCTCCCACACATACACACTGGTTCACAAAGTCGGAAAAATTGGGGAACTCTGAACTAGATGCTATGAGCTAATCCATTATGTGATGACTTGACTTGACTTGACTTGACTTGATTTTCAGCCAGTGCAGGCAGTGCTCGACATACAATCACAATTGAACCCAACATTTCTGTTGCTAAGCATGGCAGTTGCAAAGTGAGTTGTGCCTCCCTTTACATCTTTTTGCCACAGTTGTTAATTGAATCACTGCAGTTCTTAAGTGACTCATGGAGTCCTTAAGTGACTCTGGCTTCTCCCATTGACTTTGCTTGTCTGAACCTGGCTAGGAAAGTTACAAACAGTGATCACATGACCCCAAGACACTGCAACTGTCATAAGTACATGCCAGTTGCCAAGCCACCCGAATTTTGATCACATGACCATGGGGATGCTGCCACAGATGTAAGTATGAAAATCGCTCAGAAGTCACTTTTTTTGGTACTGTTGTAACTTCAAACAGTCACTAAATGAATGATTGTACCTGTATGGTTAATTTACTATGTTTTGTGAGTTCACATGTAATGTGAGCCCATTCATTGGCTTATTCAACGAACTACAGTTAAAATAGACCATGGTTTAACATGCTCTGTAAACCCTATTGTTATACAATTAAATGCTTAAGTATTTAAAGATACATTTCTATAATAAATGAAAGGGTATTTGCAGTTACCATGAATTGTTAGGGACAGTGGGATGCAGTTACAACTTAATTAACTGCCAGGTGATTCTTCATATATCTGTTTACTGTGGTAACCAGCATTTGGTGGATTTGCAGTAGTCTCTGCAAATGAGTAATTTGAACAAAGACAGTTAGGGAAAGGAATTAGCTTTATAAAGGTGCTTTCAGTGTATATAATGTGTGAGGTCAAAATCTTACAAATGAAATGTATCAGCTCAAATAAAGAAAAAAAATGGCTTAATATATACTTGGAACAATTTCCAAATGACATTTATGTGCTATAATCCTCTTGCACATGAACTCACCTATATTTTAATATCTTCTTTAAAACAGTATGGGTTTTTTTTTTAATCATTCTTTCTAGAAAGCTAAAACGTAGGTCGAAATAGATATGGCTTGTGCTAAAATGATCACATGGTTGCTTTTTTTGGTGCAATATTAAAAGCAGCCAAGTCTATGGAGTGGCAAGTACCGTAAGCTGTTTAGGGGTGCAGCAACAACGTTGCAGTTTCCTATAGGTCACAACTGCACAACATAACAAATGATCAGCCCTTCAAAGGAGGCCAAATCAAGAAATAAACACCACAGGGATTCCAGGGACATTACTGATATAAGTATAATAACAGAATTTTGAAAGTCTGTCCAAATTTCTCTCTGTCCCATCTAGGCTTTAAAAAAAAACAAATCATGCATAGTTATTTTGAGTTTCCTTCTCACACTTGCTCCTGGACTGTACAATCGTTACTTCAAGTCCCTTCTTAATGGTTCTTTCATACTTTTCCCAACATCATCTCAAAATTCCTCTACTCAAATTTACTATAGAAGTATATCTTTGAACATTACTGACAGATACCAGAACCGAAGAAGGACTGCAGCTGAAGATTCAGGGACACATCTCTAAGAAGATGCTCTTTTTGTAGATGCTAAAGGAACCCTTAATGACAGAGAAAACCAGCTATTAGTAGCTACAAATTGTTAAGGGTCAACCATATATCTAGAAGACACAAATCCCAATCTTATGTGTCCTATTTTCATCCATATGCAGCTGGTCCTTGCTTCACAACTGCCCTGTTTAATGACTGTTGGAAGTTACAACAGTCTTGAAAAAGTAACTTCACAGCTTGTTCTCGCAATGATGACCATTACAGCGTCCCCGTAGTCACACGAGTGAGATTCAAATATGATACAACTGGCAGGTGTTTACCACTGTTACAGCATCCTATGGTCTCAGGATTGTCATTTGTGTGCTTTTACCATCAGCTTCCAACAAGTAGAATCAATGGAGAAGCTGGCACTTAAAATCGCAAGTTGTGGTCCCATGATATTTCACTTAACAACTGCATTGCATGTAGTCATGAAACAAAAACTACCCATATTTTAATTGACTGAGAGCCACTTGGTTCTCTCTGGAACAGTAGAGGATTTCTTTATAGGTTAATGTAAACAGACTGGTTTCCATCCCTGGACTTATCCACAAGTATACAGGCTAATACTCTTTAAAGTACCCATATCTCTCATACCCTATATCAGGGGTGTCAAACTTGATTTCATTGAGGGCTGTATCAGAGTTGTGTTGGACCTTGGGAGACTGGAGTGGGCATGGCCAGGGTGGGCATGGCCAGCTTGATGTCACTCGTGTTGGGGGTGCCTGTGGTGGTTCAAGCATTCTGCCAGTGAAAACGGGCTCCTGAGCCCCATTTTCAGCAGCGACCGCCTCCTGCAGCCCTCTGCCAGTGAAAATGACAGAAAACGGAGCCTGGGAGGGCTGCATACGGTCCTCCTGAGCTGCGTTTTCGCTGGCAGAGGCAATGTGGGCCAGTCCTTCACTGTTTCCAGGGTGGCCCCGTGGGTCAAATCTAAGCACCCCGCTGGCCAGATTCAGCCCCTGGGCCTTGAGTTTGACACCCCTGCTCTATATACTCTGATATATGATTTCATATACATACTTCTCTCTCCTGACTAACTTCTACGTTTCCCTTTGAAAAGTCCCAGAACTTAACCCACTTCCTCTTCCTCGCAGTTGTCAGCGTGGAAGGCAGATCCGTCCATCTGAGCAACTTGGTCCAAGAAGCTCAACAACGGGTGAATGACCTGTCTGCACAAGTCATGAGTGAAAGTCTCGGCACAGACAGCTCTGAGAAGGAGAAGCAGCTGAAAGCCTGGGAGTGGAGATACCGGCTTTACAAACGCATGAAGTCCAGCTTTGAACACTCCAGTAAGAGCCAAGGGAGAAATGCCTGGATGAGTGAAATGGGTGGAACAGAAATAATTCATAAAACACATTGTGTCTCCAGGGATTGTGTCTCCCTCAGCATTTCAGTGAGCAGCTAACCTGCTTGACAAATGGGTTACAGGTAGAACAGCAACCTGCCTGTTCCTAAAATAAGACAAGTGCAGGACTAGAAAAGAATTATTTAGTTGTCTATTCATGGAGATGGACATTTATCATAAAGAAAGTTGGCAACTATTAGACCTTCTTAAGGAAGCTGCTTGAAACAGTGGAAAGGCATCTTGCATTGCGATATAATAAAATATATTTCATACCCAGTGCAGTCAGGTTCATCACTTGCAATGCTGATGTCAGAAAATATGAAATCTTTTAAACAATAATCTGTGTTTTACATGCAGGAAAGTTTTAACTGCTAAGCCAGGCTGACACATTCTTAAACCTGCATTAAAAGCAGCTTCTTACATTTGTTTTTAAAATTTATAAAATAAATGATATCTAAACATACAATACAATCAGTGTCTAAATAAATTCTAAATACGAATAAAAATTCATCAGTGCTTCCGTTATTCCGTCCCCTTGGCAAAGCCCATGTGACTGAGGAAATGTGATATTATAAATGATGATATTCTAAATCTTGTACTATGCTTACATATAATTACTTGCCATTAGAAATACTTACACTCTATTGTCCCAAATAGACGAAGAGAACAAGAGAAACCAATGGTGTCAAAGAGTCTCATTAGCATACTGTAGATGCCTTGTTTTCATTACAAACACAAGCGACTTCAGTAGAAAGCTCACCCTCGTTGCATGGCTTCGACTCATTTCTTCAATGACCCAGGGCAGTGTTTGAAAAGTATTTGTTCCGCATGAAGTACAGTGTTTTTCCTCTGTTCGCAGGAGCCCCTGAGGCACCAACCAACATCTGCCTTATGGTAACAAGCAGCACATCACTCACTGTCACTTTCCAAGAGCCTCATAGCATCAATTCAGCAGTGGTGACAAAATACAAAGGTAATAGATTTGTATCAATTTCATGAGCTTTCATGAATGTGTGTTCAACGAAATAGGGGCTTTATATCTTTGTTGGAGCTGAAAGTAGTTCCCCAACATAACTTGGATTAGATATGAACTATGTTTGATTTATCTTAGTAAATCCTTCCTTCCTTCCTTCCTTCCTTCCTTCCTTCCTTCCTTCCTTCCTTCCTTCCTTCTTCCCTCCCTCCCTCCCCTCCCCCTTCCCTTCCCTTCCCTTCCCTCCCTCTTCTGTATCTCTCTTCAGTAACAGCATGTTTAAACCTTAACATGGTCTTTTTTTTTTTTTAATTTGATTTATATGCCGCCCTTCTCCGAAGACTCAGGGCGGCTTACAATGTGCTCAGCAATAGCCTTCATCCTTTTGTATATTTATACAAAGTCACCTTATTGCCCCCACAAACTGGGTCCTCATTTCACCTACCTTAGAAAGGATGGAAGGCTGAGTCAACCTTGAGCCTTGGCGAGATTCGAACCCTGCAGTAATTGCAGGCAGCTGGTCTTAATAAGCTTAATAACAGGGTGCCTTAAACCCCTGTACTACCAAGGCTCTTGATAGTAATTAAGAAAAACTAGAAAAGACACAGAACCTTCCCTGCCCAAACCTAGGAAAGGAAAGAGGGGAGGGGAGGGGAGGGGAGGGGAAGGGAGGAGAGGAGAGGAGAGGGAGGGGAGGAGAGGTCATAGCTCTCAGTTTCTCAACAAAACTTAAATGTATGATCAGTCACATATACCCCAGGTAGTACATCTCAATATGATATTGAAATGCAGAACTGAGACACTCACTCCTTGTTTGTTTTTTTCGGGATTCACCACTGAACATTTGTAACACTGAATGCTAGTCTTCCTTTCTATCAGCACATACAGCTCACAATGTTTTACTTCCCATCATCATTTGGGGGGAAATAGTGTTTGACTAAGTATAGTTTGTCTTCATTTTACTCCTGCCATAATTCTCGTTATTCTTTACAAGTCCTTTAAGATTGGCTTCCATTAATTCACCTATTGATTGATACTATCCCAGATGAGAAAACATGAAAGAAAGCTGAAAGTATGGCCCATTCCTTAATGAAAGGTACAAGGTGTTATTATGTGGAAAAGCAGGAGGAGGGATTGCTGTCTATACATTGCTCTGAATTCCTGTATGAAAGGCAGGAGATAAATTAATAAAGAGCAGAAATATTTGTTTCAGTAGTAACTAAGGATTATCACAAAAGCCCCATAGTTACTTATCTGTTACTTCCTGGTGGTGTTTGATGTTACCAGCCCATTTCACTAAAATCTAGATTTTTCAGTTTCTAGAGCCATATACCAGTGGTGGAATTCAATTTTTTTTACTACTGGTTCTGTGGGCATGGCTTGGTGGGAGTGGCTTGGTGGGAGTGGCAGGGGAAGGATACTGCAAAATCTCCATTCCCACCCCACTCTGGGGCCAGCCAGAGGTGGTATTTGCCGGTTCTCCAAACTACTCAAAATTTCCGCTACCAGTTCTCCAGAACCTGTCAGAACCTGCTGAATTTCACCTCTGCCATATACAATTGTAACAAGAGAGCCCTGGCCTAAAGCTGGAATTCATTACATTGTGTGATTGCATGTACAAATTAACTTCCCCCAATCTAGTACCTTTTAAATGTGTTGGATGGCTCCCCCACCATTGTCTCTCAGTTTCTATTGGCCATAGTGATTGAGAATGGTGGAATCTGGTATCTCTCTATGCAATATTTGATACACTAGCTGTCACGAATCTTTCTCAAGTGGTTATTTTATTTTATGCTTTCTTGTTCAAATTTAGGAATAAACTATACCTGTATTTACAGCAAGTGTACAGATTGAAAACCTTTCCTTTCTTGGGAAGATGCACTCAGGAAATAGTCCGACAGAGAAGGAATCCATCTCTCAACTGTTGCTTTCCGTAGGAATTTTTCTTACAGAAAACTAGTAGACCCTGAAGTAATCCAACCTCAGAATAGCTCTTTGAAGTGTTCTAAGCCTGAAACAAAATTTATTCGCTCCAAGGACTTTGTTTTGAGGTCAGACCAAAATAAGCTGTTTTGCTTCAAGTTTGGGATTGGGATGCTTGCTTTATGAATTTTCATCAGCAGCAAGGGCTAATCCAATCCCTGGTCCTGTTGGTTTAAATTGGATGAGGTAACATGTAAAATCTTGAAAGGAAGGCAACAATGAAGCTGATGGTGAAGCAGAAAGAGAAGCCTGCATCCAAAAGCAAGACATTGCTGCTATTTTTTTTTTAAAGGGCAACTTGAGGCTCACCTGGGAAACACTATCTGTAATGCAGGTAGTGAAAGGGATACAGGTGTCTATGGAAACATCTGAATTCTTAGTTTTGGGAATGCTACTGAGATTGCAAAAATGCAAAGACTATCAATATAGGGTTGGTTCGGTTGGCACTGGTGTGTATATGTGTGCACATGCTGTGCATACTTTTGTGTCCTATTGATTTTGAGCTTTCAGGTGAATTTAAAAATCCAAAAAAGTTGCCTTGTGTCAGGGTTCCAAGTAATAAATCCATAGCAAGCAAGACTCTGAAGCAGGTAGGTTCCTCAAAGAATACTTTTATTGGAATTATCATATTGGCACATATCTGGTGAAAACCGACTCTGAATTCTCCCGTGGTTTTCACCTAATTAAAAGTAAAAGTTTTTCTACTTCCTCAAAACAATCAGTCACATGGTCCAATCACTGTGCAGGCTGGCAGCCGGGTGACATCACTCCGCCTTCCTTCGACCAGGTTTGAGAACGTCCTTGGTTCCCAAGAGAAAATATGTTGTTTTGACTACAGACCCCTCCAAAGCAAATCCCCCCTCCCTATCCTTCAGTTCCAGTGTGGCAACACTGAAGTGATCCAAATGGCTTCAGTCAGGTCAGCTTCAGGGTTGACACCTTGTTCACGTATGGTGCGTGCCCTGCATGCATGCTCTTGGGTCTTGTGGTTTCAGTATTAACGTCATTCGTGTAATTCAGAAATGCCATCGCCATCGGTTGCTTTTACTGAGGTTGTGCCTGGCAGATGGATGGCAAAAAGGGAGCGTGCTAAACTGTAGCTTAATCTGGTTAAATAGGTGGAGTGGCAGTGCCTCCAGAAGAATTGGCTAAGAGGATTTCAAAAAGAAAAGAAAACATTAAGAAAATTTCATTGGAATAGCATGATGTACAATTTCTGCCTTTCTGGCTGTGTTTGTTTATCTTCAGGCAGTAATGGTACCACTGCATTGGAAAGTTAAAACAATTATCTGTTTTATCTTGTCAAGGTGTTGGCTCAGAGTCTCAGGATCTGCGGAGAGAGAAGGGAGAAGTATCTGATAATAGATTTTAAATTAAAGTCAGGGATTTTCTAGGGGTAGAGCTGTGCCTGTGAGGATTTGTTATCATTTTTTTAAAAAGTGTTTTTCCCAATTACTATATTCTGCAAGTTGACTGGCTGCTGGCAGTAGATATCATGAAACATGGAATGAAGAATCATAGGGCTGGAAGGGGCCTTGGCAGAGGTGGCTTTCAGCAGGTTCTGACCAGTTCTGGAGAACCGGTAGTGGAAATTTTGAGTAGTTCGGGGAACCGGTAGTAAAAATTCATACTGCCCCCACCCCCATCTATTCTCTGCCTCCCGAGTCCCAGCTGATCGGGAGGAAATGGGGAATTTGCAGTAACCTTCCCCTGGATTGAGGAGGGAATGGAGATTTTACAGTATCCTTCCCCTGCCACACCCACCAAGCCATGCCACGCCCACCAAGCCAAACCCACAGAACCGGTAGTAAAAAATTTTGAAACCCACCACTGGACCTCGGAGATCTTCTAGTCCTATTCCCTGCTCAAGGCAGCAGATTTTATATCATCATAGACAAATGGTTGTCCAATCTATTCTTTAAAATCTCCAGTGATGGTGCACCCATAACTTACGGAGGCTAGCTGTTCCACAGATTAATTGTTCTCACTGTCAGGAAATTTCTCCTTAGTTCTAAGTTGAATCTCTAACAAGCTTCTGCCCATTGCTTTTTGTTCTATCCCATGATGTTTGGGAGAATAAGTCAATCCCCTCTTCTCTGTGACAGCCCATCAAGTACTGGAAAACAGCTATCATGTCACTCACAACCCTTTTCAACAGGCTAGACAAGCGGTCTACAATCTTGGCAACTTTAAGCTGGGGAATGCTGGGAGTTGAAATCTGCCAGGCTTAAAATTGCCAAAGTTGCAGACCCCTGGGCTAGAATATCTAACTCCCTTAATCGTTCATCATATGATTTAGCTTTCAAACTCCTGATTGTCTTTGTTGCTCTTTTCTGCAGTTTTTCTAGGGTCTCAGCATCTTTTTTTGAACCTTGGTGACTTGAACTTGGATGCAGTATTCCAAATGTAGTTTCACTAGTGCAGTATAAAGTGGTATTATCACTTCTTGTGATCTTGATAGTATCCCTTTGTTGATGCAGCCTAGGATTGCATTGGCTGTTTTGGCAGCTGCAGCACACTGATGTCTCATAAGTGATGGTCCACTATATCCGTCTCACAGTTACTACTGTTCGGCCAGGTACCAGCCTATTCTAAACCTATACATTTGGTTTTTCCTGCCTAAGTGAAGACCTTACTTATATTACCACTGAACTGCATCTTATGGGATAGGACCCAGTACTCAAATGTGTCAAGTTTCTTCTGAATCGTGAGTCTATATTCTAAAATCTTACCTATTCCTCCCCCAACTTGGTGTTGTCTGCAAATTTGATGAGTTCCCCTTCTATCTCATTTAGACCATTTATGAAGATGTTATATCTAATGTCTTATGATGAATGTATTTTTACAATGACTTTGATAATGATCTATCACTATTGTTGTATGTACACCAAGAGCTTATGCACCAGAGACAGATTCCTTGTGTGTCTAATCACACTTGGCCAATAAAGAATTCTAATTCTAATGTTGAAGAGTACTGGGCCCAAGACAGAACTTTAAAATACTGCACTGCATACTTC